GTGTGTGTGTGTGTGTGTGTGTGTGTGTGTGTGTGTGTGTGTGTGTGTGAGTATTAGACTTGCACCACTGAATCTGCCCTCCTCTGAGGCTATTGTACTCTGCTCCTCCTTTCTGTATTGATTCCACTGGGCAAGCGCTCCTTCACTCCTTCCTTTTCATCCTCCTTTTTCCTTCCTTCTTTTATCATTTTTCTCACTTCCTTTTTTGTTAACTAGGAGGTGACGTTTTCCTCTTTCCACACCTTTTTTTACGTTTCCCTGTGTTTCTCTCTCTCTCTGATCTCTCTTTTTTTAAAACCCTCCTCTTTCGGAGGCTCGGCCTCTCAGAGCTGACGGATCATGTACACGCTCACCTTTAGCACCGCTCAGTCGATGCCTATTGATTTTAATATCACAATGAAATAAATTATTTCTCTTTGAGTGAAAGTGCCCGTGTCTACATCCTCTTCTAGTTTCTTTCACCCTCGCGATTCTCCAGTTCAATCCCTCTGTTTCTGAGGTAATTTAATTGGCATCTGATGCTGGTTCTCTTAAACCTTTGAATGACATTTAGCAATCCACTTTTAATTTATATTTCTGTTTCAGATTGCTCTGATTTTTCTCTTTTGGATTGTTTTGTCTCTGTGCAGCCATTAGATATACAGTACCAAACTGTTGTAAAATTCAAAGGACAATTAAAAAGAGACCTTGTCCTGTTTGTCGCTGCAGCACTTATTGAAAACTCGGAATGCTTTTAAAGCAGGACTAAAAGACAAATGTCACCCACTTTCCACATCTACATGAGCAGCACTCATTAGCCCATCGTCAGTGAGTCATGACTAATGAGTGGGTTATAGATTCATCTGAGACCCCCCCCCCCCACAAGTTGTCCTACCCTTGCATTACAGTGTCCGTGTCAGCCGGCTATCAACAGTGGCCTCTGTCTGTCAAGGCCAGGAGACCCTTAAGGACTCCTCTATTGATCTGTGCCTGGGCCATTGTCATTACATGTCATTGGTACACAGAGACACACAGAGTACAAAGTAGACTGAAAGATGAAGGTGGAGCAAAGATTTGATGGATTAGATGAGAGAAGGAAGAACAGAAGACATCAAGCAGTATTGAGCACAGTATGAATGAATTTAAAGGTGTAATGTGTAGCATGTTGGGACCATTGATATATATTACTGGATTGGACATCACCTATCTGCACTTTTGTGTGCTTCTGTGTAAAAAGCGCCATCGTTACTGTGATGATTGTGGACACAAGAATGCTATGTTCACACTGATTACAGCTTTGCTCCATCATTTTGTGCCTTTATGGCCTATCAGAGCAAGGTTTTCAGTATCATGTAAATGTGCGATGATTAGCTACACACAATGACACGAACAGCCAGAAACAAATTCCTCATGTGTGTCAACATACTTGGCCAATTAACCTGATTCTGATATCTCTGAACATTTTTACTGGCCAACACTAATAAAAAATATACATTTAAAGTAGTGATGTCTAGGGCTGGCCTGACCCTTGTTTTTATTTTGCACATTGAATATGACTCACCTTCTTCCAGTTAGTCTAGTACATTATCACCCTAGTCCAAATCATCATAGATTTTTTAAATAAATTATTTATTTTGGTGGGGGACTCAATTATAAATATTTTAAATGTATTATTATTTTTTTTTTTTTGCTGTTACTGGTAAAAATGTAATAGTAGATACCAGTGACAATAAAAATGTTTCATAAATGTATGTGTTCAGATAGATTGGACTAATGTATTATTATTAGAGAATTAAGACAATTAATTAAGCAAAATATTCTGGATTCAATAATTTTGTGTTACATGAGAGTGGACACTTATTTTAGTTAATAACTTGTTTTTTGAAACCAAACAACACCCTCCCACCCCACATTTTCAGTATTATGTAGTCCTTAAGATGTATTTCATGTTAATTTAATGAATGAATGAATGAAAAAAATAATAAATAAATAAATAAATAAATAAATAAATAAATAAATAAATAAATAAATAATACATTTAGACATATACTCCTGTTTGTTAATTCACTGAAGTCTGGATTTATGTTCTCTATTCCAGCAGTGTACTATATTATAGGTCTATGTTATACCTAAAACTCATGATCTTGTGTTGGAATAAAATATTTTAAGAACAAAAAATATATTGTGAGGTTAACAAGTTGTTTACATTATATTAAATACATATTGTATCATATCTGCAGCTGTTAAGCTGACAAACACTGGTAGTACTGTATTATTCTGCATGCATTCCTACTTTTGTAACTTTGACAGCTGTTTACTGATCATCTTCATTACATTTGGAGCACAATTTACCTGGGTCTGCCTGCAGCTAACATTATGTATTACTGAACAGCTGACCTGCATGATTGCTTTACTACAGCAAGTACAGAAGAAACTTCTGTGTGAAATGTTATTCCTTATGCTTCTGTCAGAGAATTTTGTTATGTGCTACAGTTTATAACAAAACCTTCAGTTTCTGATGTGTTAATCTTCCTTTTTTGGGCATTCACACGTCTACCATCCACACATAGTAATGGCGGAGACTCTGCACATCTCAAAACACGTGACGTCCAATCTAGTAATGTTTGGGTCATCCAGCAGTTGAATTTAAAACCAGGTAAAAGCTCACCAGCTCCTCTGAAGCATAAAAGATAGAACATGGTGGGTGCAAAACACTAAAACTAGTCCTTGTTTTGTCTCTTTCTGCCAACTATGAGACCATAGTGATGAAATGTAGAAGAGAGGTGAGAGCTTGTGAAATAAATTGCTTGTTTTATGAAAACAAAGGCCAAATGAATCAAGTTTTTGTTCAGTTCTGATGAAAATGGTTAAATAGCTACGTTTCTGTAGCATTTATCCATCCATCCCATGGGTGAGCAACTGTCAGCCAGTGGACCGTATCTGGCCCGTGGATAATTTCTCTCCTGCTTATCAATGAGACCACCCTTCCTCCTATAAAAATAAATAAATAAAAATAAAAATCGGTGTAATTTAAAATATATAATAATTTTCCTTTTCATCACTATGGTACATACTTGGCAAAARGAGACAAAACAAGGACTAGTTTTAATGTTTAGTACCCACCATATTTTATCTTTTATGCATCAGAGGAGTTGGTGAGCTTTTACCTGGTTTTAAATAAAAAATAAGAATTCAAATCAGCTCTTACATTAATTTTCAAATTTCTAAAAATGTAAGTCTCAGTGGCACTGAACTGGTTGTGATTCAGCCTCCAATGCCGACGCCACCTTACACACACGTCTTCTCTACCAAAGAGGAAGAGATGTTTAGCCACGGCTAGAAGCAGATGAAATGAATTGTTGTACATGCGTTTGAGCATGAAATATGTTATTGTACTGTATGTTGGTTTAACACACGTATATGTAAACATATACAAAATGGCAGTTTTTATTACATTTTGATGAATGTGCAGCACTATGTGGCCCTTTGGTAGGGTCAACAAAAAACTGTGGCACCTTCATTATTTAATTTGAACATCCCTCCATCCATCTGTCTATCCATCCCTTTTCTTCAACATACCTAGACATCATGGAGGCAGTAGGTTCAGGAAGGAAAACCAGACATCCCTCTGTTTTGAGCTTCTCCTGAGGGATTCCAAGGTGTGTTCCCAGACAAGAGGGGATTTAAAATCCCTCCATCAAGTTCTGGAGTTCTTCCGTGACGTTGTTCCCAGTGGGTCTTGTTTGGGAAACCAGATGGAAGCATTCAGGAGGCATCCTAACCAGACTCCTGAATCACTTCATGCTTTATAAGGAGGAGTAGTGGCCTCCTCGTACCATCACTGGTGAACAAGACTCCCAGATACTTGAACTCCTTTTGATGTAAAGTA